CCCTTCAGTCTTCTATCTGACCTCCGTCCTCCCCTTCAGTCTTCTATCTGACCTCCGTCCTCCCCTTCAGTCTTCTATCTGACCTCCGTCCTCCCCTTCAGTCTTCTATCTGACCTCCGTCCTCCCCTTCAGTCTTCTATCTGACCTCCGTCCTCCCCTTCAGTCTTCTATCTGACCTCCGTCCTCCCCTTCAGTCTTCTATCTGACCTCCGTCCTCCCCTTCAGTCTTCTATCTGACCTCCGTCCTCCCCTTCAGTCTTCTATCTGACCTCCGTCCTCCCCTTCAGTCTTCTATCTGACCTCCGTCCTCCCCTTCAGTCTTCTATCTGACCTCCGTCCTCCCCTTCAGTCTTCTATCTGACCTCCGTCCTCCCCTTCAGTCTTCTATCTGACCTCCGTCCTCCCCTTCAGTCTTCTATCCAGGGCCGCAGCACACGGGCCTCTCTTACCATCCTGGCTTTGATGATCACGGGGAACGTCGTCGTAAATCACGCCGTCTCCAGAGCTGCGAGAACTCGATAAACCTGAAATGAAGAACGAATCGTATTAAACCAACACAGACGACATCAATCCGCATAAATTAACATAAATTGTCAGGAATTCGCATACATTAAACACGCCCCATGTGACCGGGAACGTGGAATGTAAATAAAAGGCTGTCAATGAAGGGCGGTATGCTCCTGTCCTGGAGATACCGAGGGAGAGCGGTACACCGCGCTACAACAGCGCCGAGCGGCGACGTCCGCCATTGTTGTAGCCACATGACCAGTGTAAGGGCATTAGAGTGTAAGCTCCTCTGTACAGAGACTGATGTGACTGTGGGGGGGAGGGGACATTAGAGTGTAAGCTCCTCTGTACAGAGACTGATGTGACTGTGGGGGGAGGGGGCATTAGAGTGTAAGCTCCTCTGTACAGAGACTGATGTGACTGTGGGGGAGGGGCATTAGAGTGTAAGCTCCTCTGCTGCAGAGACTGATGTGTTCTCTGTACAGCGCTACGGAATATGTCGGCAATCTGCGCTCAGAAATAACAAAACTCACGTTTCTTGCTCAGACTCTTCTTGACGCTGTGCCTGCGGCCCTCCACCTTCCTCCGACCTCCGGGATCCCCATTGCTGACAACGGACGGAGACCTGCGGGAACAAAGCGTCTGGTTGGGATCAGACGCACGGAACTTCGGCAACGGAGCCGGGAACATTGTATCCCCTTCAAGTGACGGGACGAGGGACTCTGTGTCAGTCCCTGAGCGCTGACCCCCGTTGTGGGTCCCTTTCCTCTCCGCGCACATCAGACAACACTCACCCGCTGGTAGGGGACCTGTACACGGGGCCGACCTGAGACTTTAAGGAAGTCTGGAAATCAGAAATTTCCTGGAGAGTGGG